GCTGAGTTTGGGAGGGGGAAGGTGGGGGGGGAGGGGCCATTAGCGATGGCGGCATGGCCTAAAGGGTGGGGCGGGGCATAAAGGTTTGACTTCGGTGGCTGGGGTCTGAGGAGCTAGCCTAGGTGGGTGGGGCATAGGGTGTAGTTTGTAGGTGGAGTCATGGGCGTGGCCAATGTGGCTGGGTGACAAGGGCATGGTTCCTGAGGGAGGGGGCATAGCCTATGGACAGTCATGGGGTGTGGGACTTGGACAGGGTCATGGAGGCATGGCCTGTAGGAATAGGGGCATAGCCTACAAGGGCAGAGTGGTGCTAACCTGTATGGTGTGGGGGCATCCCTATCAGGTGGGGGCAGCTGTGGGGGAGGCTTCTGGGCCCCCTCTTGCATAAATTGCAGGGCAGTATCTGGGGATAGGGCTTCATCTATAATAGGCATCTTGGTCCCTCCCCATCCAGGAGCAGGCATCAGTGCCCATGTACCACTCTGCGCCTGGGCAGTCACGCCTGGCCACGCAACTGACTGAGGAGGAGCAGGTCCGCATCGCCCAGCGCATCGGCCTCATCCAGCACCTGCCCACAGGTGTCTTTGACCTGGGCACCGAGCCCACTGACCGGAAAACCAAGGAGTAGGTGTCCTCCAGCTCTGCCCATTCTCCCCACTAGCCCAGGCGTCATCTGGGGGTGGGGAGAGGAGCCCCAAACCCTGCCCTTGTTCTCTTCCTTTGGGCCTTGCTAAGCCCTGTAGCAGGGCAGAAGCCAAGATGGGGATACAACCCAGGTGCCATGTGGGGAGGCAGGGCTGGGGATAGAACCTGGTGGGGTGGGGGGGGGTGTCTGCTTTTATTTGCTAGTCTCAGGATGTCTGGGTTTTGTCCCTAGCCTGTGGGTCACACCTTGCCTCCCCCACCACAGGTGTGTGATCTGCATGTTGGACTTCGCCTATGGGGACCCAGTGCGGTTCCTACCCTGTCTACACACCTACCACGTGGGCTGCATTGATGACTGGCTCATGCGCTCGCTTACCTGCCCATCCTGCATGGAGCCCGTGGATGCCGCACTGCTCTCCTCCTATGAGACTTAGCTGGAGGAGAGAAACAGAACGTTGCTGGCACATACGTGGGGTGATTTTTGCACCTAGAAGACACCAAAGGTGCCTGCAATTGCCCTAATTCAACCCCTGCTTTTGGGTCAGGTGCTTCGAAAAGCTAGATGAGGCAGTTCTCTTCCCAGGTGCCTCTGGGAGGAGCAGCCCCAAGCCAAACCTGGGGGAGCTCATGGGGGTGCAGGGAGGGGGGAGGAGCATATTCCTGCCCCTAGTCTAGTGGAGGGGTGCTGAGCTCCAGGAGCTGGAGTCGAAGATGGGACTTGCAGCCTGTGGTGGACACTGTTTTCTTCCCTGGGGCTGGTACCTACCCTGCCTAGATCTGGGAGCAGGCCCTGGTGCACCCGGGAAGCCAACCCTGGCTGTCTTCCCCTCCCCAGCCTTGTAGTGCCTCAGCCTTCAGGGCTGGGGGCCCTGGCTCCAGTCCCTCTCCTCTGTCCGGGCAGGCAGCCCCTTCTCCCCAGCCATGGGGTCTCTCAGAGATCATGAGCATTAGCCCCTCCCCATGGCGCTACCACTCCACACTGTTCCAGGGGCATCTTTGCCTTAGATATGGAGTCCCATCTTCTCGTCCTCCCCCCACAGTTGCCCCATGAGTTGTCAAGTAATTGGCCTTACCTAGACTGGGATGCTTGGAAGGGGGGGCGACTGCTGGCCTGGCTCTCACCATGGGGCCACCTACCCCAACCCCAGCTGGTCCTTGCCGGGGAGTTCAAAGGGAGATGGACACGTGTTGTATTTGAGCTGCACAATAAAGATTATTGTCTAGAGCTGCCTGATGGGTTTGGGGGGGGGGGCGGTCAGGCACTATCCTGGTTTCTCTGCCCCAGAGCATGTACCTTTGTGGGGCAGGATGAAGCCCTCTCTGCATTCCCCCCAGATACCCACCTGCTTCCTTCTTTCAGTGCTTGGGACTCCTGGGCTCAGACATCAGGCTGCCTTCAGAACCACAGCTCCATGCTCCTCTAGCAGCCTCCTTTTCACAACATAGACCATCCCCCATACAGCTGGCATCTCTCATGTTCCAAGAGAAGATATCAAATGGGAAACAAGGTTGGGGGGCTCAGGGCCTCTAACCCTCCCCACAGCATTCATGGCGTCTCCCATGCAGGGACACAAGCTGGCAGCCTGGGACTATAGCCAGCACCTTGCAGCCAGGGAGGGAGCTCTGAGAACAGGGCAATCCAGGACCAGAGCAGGGCAATGACTGGGTACAGAGGGTAAAGTCTAGGGGCTCCTGGCATCTCAATCCTAGATGCTTCCAATCCATGGGGGTCCCTAAGACACTCTCCTGGCTATGGGTACACCTCCCTGGCTGGCACCCTCACCCTAGGTCTTCCCTAGGCAGACCCCATGGCCAGGCCCCCACTCCCTCTGCATCCAGGTAGATGGTCTCCTTGCTGCTGCAGCCTGCCCCCAACAATCCCAACCCCATCCTCATCTCAGCAGGGAGTAATCTGCAGCCACTTGGTCCCAGCTCAGCTAGGCTTTGCCATAAGTAGTGTCGGGGGGAGTCAGTTCCTCTGTGGAAAGCCACTCACCTCAGGTACAGCAGAGCTCAGACTTAGAACTGTCCGCACCACATGCCAGGGAAGGAGGCACCAAGCCAGGGTCTGTACAATGGGGTTTTATTTTAAAAAGCCGGTGCAGTAAGAACACATGGGTGGCTTGGTGCAGAGGAGAGTACAAGGATATGGGGGCTGCTGAGGTGTACTAGGGCTCCCTTAGGGACAAGGGGCCAGGAGAATTCAGGAGAAAAAAAAGAGGAGCTCCAGGGGCCAAGGGTACAGTGGGGGAGGGTGTGGGGGGGGAGCTGTTCTAAGGCTTGAGCACCAAGCAGTAGCTCCCAGCTGACCCCCCTGCCTTGACTAAATAGGCTGGGATCCCCATACCCCCCTTTTCCCTCCCCCACTACAGGGGGGGGCAGGGGGGTGTCTTCACTAGAGAGCAACATCACTGGTGCAGTGTAGGTGGGGCTCCCCCACAAGCATCCAGGGTGAGGGCTTGGAACAGCCAAGGAGCCAGGCCTGCCTGAGTTTCTGGGGGCTGGCCATCCTCTTCCTCCAGGGGGGTGTGAGATGGCAGCAGAAGCAGTTCTCATGTAATAGGTCCAATCCGCACCACTGAGGCTTTCTGTGGCTGGAGCTGTCACTGCCAGGGTCCGTCAGGCTGGCAGGACTGGGCTCCCCCCAGGCAGGGCAGGTGCTGGGTGATTCCAAGGGGTGGAGACCGATGCCTCCAAATGAAGAGGAGACAGACGAGGCAGTTGCAGGAGCCTGGGAGCACCTACCCCTTGACTCCTGGGCGCAGGCAGGGAATGTACAGCACCAGGCACCCCCACAAAGAAGTCAGTAGCTTAGGAAGACCCAAGGTCTTTAATGACTGGGAATGAATGCAGCACCTGCCCCTGCTCCAGCACGGAGGGAACAAGAGGGCAGGGGGAAGCTGGGTCCCAGCAGGATGGGCAGGCTATGCCACGGGCCACTGATGCGATTGTCCGGGGAGCCGCACTGGCAGGGGGGGAGGGGGGAGCGCCGGAGTCCTGGCTCCTGGGAGAGAGTCATAGAAAACAGGGATCCCCATCATCAGGCAGCTGCAGCCGGGCAGGGAGGCACTGGCGAGGGGTAGCACACGCCTTCCCGCCTTAAATAAGTATGTACAACACACAAAAGTCCTGGCGACCAGGGCTGGGGCTAGATCTAGACCAGGCCAGGCCCCACAGCAAGCAGCTACTTCACCAGGGGGCGGGTTTTGTCATCATCACTACACTGATGAGCCTTGTACTTCTTCACTTCAGCCATGTACTTGGCCCAGGCATCCCCTTTACTCGTCAGGACCTGCAGAAGGAGAAGGGCAGCTCAGATGCCAAGCCCAGAGCCACATTTCACCACGGAAAAAGGGTGGGTGGGTAGGGGGGAAAAGAGGGACTGGGCCCTGACAGCAGCAGGAAGACCACCCCTCCCCAAGATCCCACCACCACCAGCCCTGCTCCCTTCCCAGAGCTAGGAAGTGGAGGGAAGGACCCCTCCCCCACCAAGCTGGGGATGGAAGCCAGGAGCCCCAGCACCCAATCCATCCATCTCCTGGATTTACTACACACCAGGAAAGCCCCTGGTCCAGTGCCTCTCCGCCCCCCCCAACCATACCCAAATGGGAACCCAGCTTTTAGCAACCTTGGGGCTGCTCCAGGTGTCCCCCACTGCCCTGGAACCAGCATGGGCATCAAAGCAGGGGCTGAGGGACCCCAGTTCAACCTCAGTGCATTGAGCCAGGGTCTCTGCTCAAGCTTAGCTACCTCACCCCCACCTTAGGCCCTTCCCAGACAATCACACAGGAGGACAGGGTCACACTTACATAGGCATACTGAGGCACCAGAAGCAGGAGTAAGACTTCCCAAAGTAGCCACAGAAACACTGCCCCTGCCATCCCAGCCACCCCCACCACCCCCTTTTACCTCCTCCTCCATCTTTTGTTTCTTTGCTACCACTCCCGTCTTCAAGGCCAGCTTATTGCCCCCTCGCCGCCGGCCAACCTGGGAAAGGATAGAAAGCAGCCAATGTTACGAGTGCCCCTGCTGCTGGCACTCCCCATGCCATGGTATGGAGAAGGCTGGGAGGGTGGGAGTGGAAAGACAGCCCAGGCCTGAACCAGTGCTGTTCCTAGAGAGATCTCTAGCTTCCCAGCTCAAGCAGACCCCCTCAGGCACTGCACCTCTCCCCTGGAAGTGCCTCCCTTGGCCGTGGCGCACACCCCCAGGGTGAGGCAGCTGCTGGGCTTTACGACCACAAAGTGGTGGCAGGAGCTGGGCACTTGCTCTGTGGGAAGCTGCCAGACAAAGAGCTATGGGACCCAGAGCACAGCCCACTGCTGCTGCCCGTGGCCCGCCCCCCAACCACTGGGGCACCAGGTGCAGGCAGGCAGGGCTGGTCGAGGCAGCCTGTCAGCAGTAACAGGGAGGGGGAACAGAAGAGCAGGGCAGAACAGTGGCAAGCAGAGACACTGCAAACAGAGCGAGGGAGGTAGGAGAGGCAGGAATACGTTCTGGGAAGAGACAGATGAGAAGAAGGCCGGGGCAAATAAGCAAAAGAAAGATGGGCAAGAAGAAAGGGAATTCAAAGATGGGGGGAAGGGGCAGAAGCCAGGAGGCAGCAAGAGAAGGGGGGTCAGAAGCAGGGAGGGGAGGAGCC